GGAATGCATTAGGAAGTGATGTGGTGGAGGCTGACTCCATACACAGTTTCAAATGTAGATATGATAGAGCCCAATAGGCTCAGGAATCTGTACACCAGTTGATTGACGGTTGAGAGGCGGGACCAAAGAGCCAGAGCTCAACCCCCGCAAGCACAATTAGGTGAGTACACACACACACACACACACACACACACACACTACAATTTTGTCCCCATTGCCTCAGAGACACTTGGTGCCTGGGGTAAAAGTGCTGCTAGCTTTTTGAAGGAGTTGGGGTCTAAGCTAATCGAAACAACTAGAGACCCTAGAGCTGCCAGTTTTCTTTTTCAGCGCCTTAGTGTGGCAATCCAAAGAGGAAATGCTCACTGCATCCATGGTTCCTGCCCGCCATCTGAGGAGCTGGAGGAGCTATTCAGCTTGTGACAAGCAGCCTTGTACCCTGCATGTAATTAATATTGTAACTTTTTTTGTGTAATGACATTTTCAAATAAAGTTAGATAAATATACAAACATACCAAAAGAATAGGGGAGGTAGGAGAAGAAAATATCAAAGTGTTCAGTGAGGATCCACAAGGTCTTCTCTGAGTACTCTTTATTTTCTTCTCCGAGGCTATGGGTCCCTACACTTGCACCAGAGGTGGTACCTCTATCTATATATATATATATATATATATATATATATATATATATATATATATATATATATATATATATATGGATAAACTATTTTTGAAAGTAGTATTATTATTGTACAGTTTTAACAATAAATAAATTATATATACTGTGTGTGTGTATATATATATATATATATATATATATATATATATATATATATATATATATATATATATATATATATATACACACACACACACACAGTATATAAAGAGGGGTCTGCGTATGTCGTCTATCAAAGAGTGGAGGCCAAACATTAATGGCTAGTCTCATTAAATTTTGCATGGTGACTGGCACAGTCATGGGGGGGGGGGGTTCTGTCAGTGGGGTCAGGACAAGGGAGTAAGGTCAGCATGCTAGGCAGGTCTTCATTGTGTAGAAGCACAAAGTTTTTTTTTTTTTTGCAGGGATATTCCTGCACGAGCCCTAAGCCAGCTTCTGGCTGGCCCACTAAGTGTTGCTTGTTTCTGTTTTACTTAGGCGGAGTATGAGTATTTATGACTCGTATGGTTGCTTCAGTAAGATTTTGTCCCACGTGTTTAACAACTTCTTCTGCTCTGTTGAATCTTAATTGAAATCTTAATGGGTTTGTAACTGTGCACTGTGTTAGATAATGTTCCAGTGGTCTGTTGGGCATTTCTCCACAGTGCTGAAATTTCCTCTCAGCTCCCGGAACCTGTAAGCGTATTTCCCATGCACATGGGTATCCAAGCCTGATGCGATATGTGTACTTTTATTGCTCTATTGCTCCCTTTCATCAAACTAAGTGGTTCATTGTTGGTTGAATTCTTGTACCAACCCGTAGATACTAATGTTGCAACTACTGTGTTGTGGTCAATGTACATCTTTTGCATTGCTCTGTTTCTAATTGCTTTCTTAATATGTTATAGACTCTGTGGTATGTAAATGTCTACCTTTCTTCTCTTAGTTGCAAGTTTTGCAATTTTGCCTGCAATGTCATTTCCTATTATTCCCACATGACTTGGCACCAAGTTGATAAGTACCCGTCAGCCTTGTTGTTTGAGTGTTTGCATTAATCATATGACATTTGTGATCAGATGGATGTTGTCAAGTATGTGTTATTGTTGCAAGGTTTCAATGGCAGTTCTCGAATCATTATGTATGATAACATGTTGTCGGTGTTCAGCAAGAGCATGTTCCAAAGCCTTTTGAATGGCTAGCATCTCTGTAAAGTTGAACACCCATTTGAGAGTCTCCAACTACAAAATTTCCTGCCTTAACTGTATCTCCAGTTTCTTGTCCTTGCTGGTCTACTGATCCATCTGTTTAGTATGTGTAACTGTCAGATGCCAAGTTTGCTTCTATATGCATCTGTGCAATATTACGGATCAGATGAGGATTAGTCTGGTTCTTTTTTCCTTCAAGAGCCATAATCTTAAAGTCTGCTGGCAGCGATTCCCAAGGGTCTTGCATAACGAAGTCTACATGTATTTCGTCGGCACCCTTCTCAGTGACTATATAGTATTTGTTATATCAAATGTATTGATGGTGTTTATTGCACAATGGGTCCACCTGTTGCTATTGGAGGCTCTTTTGTTTCGAGTTAGTGTTCCAATGATTATATCTTTAAGTGAACTGATTCTAGGTCTAGTCAATATCTTGGTCAGCATGCACAAAACAATCCCTTTTACCATTATTTCAATCAATGTTAGCTTGGTTTCTAGTCTTAGGTTCAGTATTTTAGTCCATCTGGGAGCCCCTGTTATGACTTGCATTGTATCATTTTGAATAACCTCAACATTTGCCCACTGGCCAGGAGAAAGAGTGAGTAAAGCAGGTGCTGCATAATCAACTAGGGAACGAACGGCGTGTATGTAAAACATTCTTAACACTTTGTGCCCCACTTCTGGACGGGGCCCTGTGATTGCTCTCATTATATTCAGTTGTGATTTTGCTTTCTACTTCAGATATTGAATTTGCTTGTTAAATCTTGTGTGCTGCCCAGAAGCAGTGTGACTTGAGAAGACTCGGCTCATAGCAGAAGGAACCCACAGCCCTTCAGAATATATTTAATGTGGGGCTTAGGGTTATGCAAGCTGACACAATCATAACAAAATGGAATGCTTGGTTATGTACAATGTGGGTGGCCTAAACACAATCATGAAGCATAAACAAAAACAGTACTAAAATTAAATTACCATATATTACCATATATATATAGGGAGCCGGTCGGCCGAGACACGTGCAAAACTGGCATCCCAGTTTTGTGACTGATCTTTTATGTACTCCCTATGCCTTCCATGTCTAGTGAGCCAGATTTTGGTTTTGTCTTCAGTAGGCTACAGTAGAATTTTAGAGGTGTGGTGTGTTGGGTCAAGACTCGGTGGTATCAGAGCTAAGCTCGGGTAAGCCACTGACAGATCCCTCGCCAGTATGCAATCTTACTACTGTATATACAGAAATTGTTTCAAATTACCATCACTTATTACAATAATTATGGGATATATAAACAGTACTTTTGAAAACATACTTTTATAAACAATTATATACATTTATTATACAACTGTAAACTCTATGACCCCTCAAAACAAACAATAAAATGAGGATACTACATGCAATCTACGACATGCTAATTTGTGGAAAAGAAGCTACTTATGAAAAGTAAAATGTTCTCAGAACTCCATCCTGTCTTGGTTTGAGGGGACATTCATTCTGCCAAATATTTAGATCCTCACAAATGTAATATTCAAGTAACTTCTGCCCTACAATCAAGTATCAATTATCTGTAAACATTAAGGAAAACTGCTTTGATCACATTATTCTGAAAATGAGGAGTGAATATAACTCAAAATAGTGACAGACAGAAATGACGTGCTATGTTACGGAACATTGTGACCGTCATACTAGTCTACACAACTTTTGTCTCCAGTTAGTCAATAACTGTTTTGCAGAGCATCATTTCAACTCACATTTTTCTTTTTCAATGGTTACACATTGGACAACTTTGCTGCTGTTGAATGGGGACAACTTTGCCACTGTTGATGGGGACAACTTTGTTGATGTTGAATGAACAACTTTGCTGCTGTTGAATTGGGACAACTTTGCTGCTGTTGAATGGGGACAACTCTGCTGCTGTTGAATGGGGACAACTTTGCCGCTGTTAAATGGGGACAACTTTGTTGATGTTGAATGAACAACTTTGCTGCTGTTGAATGGGGACAACTTTGCCGCTGTTGAATGGACAACTTTGCCACTGATGAAAGGACAACGTTGCTGCTGTTGAATGGACAACTTGACATTGCAATACCTTATTCATTAGAGAACCAAAATATACACATCTACAGTATTTTTGTATTTCTTTCTACAACCCTGAATAATATACCTAAACATCTTGGACCCCAGATCCACTCTCAAATTATTCTTGAAAATTGCTTGACTAAATTTTTTAACACTTTAGCGTACCCAGCGTGCCACCCCTCACCTATGCGATTTGGGTCCCAGCGTTTCACGGGAGCGAGCGTTAATTCTGAAAAGTGTATACTCTCTTCAACTTTGTCACCTCAATTCTCGTCCTACAAGATTAAATGTGGTATCATTGTGTTCGCAATAGAATTCTCTACAGCACTAAATGCATATAAACTCCAAAAGCCCGGCTAATTACCCGCAGCAAACAGAGAAAATGCGAACGAGTTACCCAGGAGCGCGCAAAAGCGATAAAATGTGTTCACTCTTTTCACTCTGGTCACCTCAATTTTCGTCCTAGGTCTTTCATTTTGGTATCAATGGGTTCGCAATAGAATTCTCTAGAGGAACATTAGCATATAAAATAAAAAACCTGGTCACGCTCCACCCGCCGACGAGTTGAAGACGGGCCACGCGTTAACCGCGAGTGAGCGCCCAGACGCCTTCCAGCTACACTCCCAATTCCTGCCCACAAATGTTTAGTATTTAGTATTTTAGTATATTTAGTATTATAGTTTAGTATTTTTTGTGTAGTAGTTGTACATCACATAAGCATTGTAGATAGCCATTTGCACAAAATAGAAGGTCATTTTCTTCGTCCATTTGTGAGTTTTCCTTATGAAGTGATAATATTTGATCATTTGGTCAAAGTGATCAACACCTTTCATGTTTGTATTGTAGTCACAGATTGCATTCGCCTTGTTGACAGTTACTAAACAGTCCCCAAAAAATCGGATAAAAACCTGATTTTTGGCAATTATTTTAGTGGACGACGCAGCATTGCGTCATCACCGAGATTACCAACATTAAACGGATGACGCAGCAATGCGTCATCCCCGGACGAAAGTGTTAATTTAACATGTAAATAATAATAATAAAAAATATTTAATGTTATAATCAACTTATGTTGACATAAAACAAAATTAACAATTAAAATATTTATGGATCAATGTAGTACTTTCCTGAATTACTTACCACAATTCATTTGGTAAATTTAATCTTAAGGCTCAAAATTTTAAATATGAAATATTCAAATAAAAAATATGAACCAAAAACCTCTGTTCACATCTTATGTTGTAAATAAAATAAATGTGCACAGACAACAACTTCAAACTGTTACTCTTTGAAATTTCTTTCATATGCAGAAAGTTCTTGGTCAGTCAAAACAGCAATAACATTGGTTTTCTGGGAATTATTTGGATCTATTTCCTCGTAAGCCAAGCCAGTAGCACTTCTCAGCCATCTGAAGATAAAGGTCAAATTATCAGACAGGGTTCCTTACCCTTGGAGTGTACAATTCTCTCAGCTCTGAATCAACACTGTGCACAATTTATAAAATATTAAAAAAAAACTAGTGTTGAATGTAATGAAATGCCATTTTCTGTGTAGAGCCCAGGAACTATTGGACTGATATTAGCTAATATTAGTATGGCGCTTCAATCATATGGAATTGTCATGCCTACCGGGGATCACTAGCCAGAACATGGTCCCCTCAGAAAGGTGTAGGAAGGATTGGCCTATGAAACTCTCATGCATGAAAGTATTTATGTCTGTCATCGACCAGGGTTGATTGAGCACCCAGAAAGGTAGGCGCTCCAAAACAGACCCCTCCTGGTAAAAAAATTGCAACCCGAGACCGAACAGACACTAGAAACTCCCCAAAGGAAAACAAGCTAACAAGCAACGCACCATCACACAGTGCCGCTTGTTTGCGCCCCGCCCCCTGAGGGGGAGAAGGGGATCCCGGCCCACCGAGCTGACAGCCAGACCGTTACTTTGTCAACTGAAGCTAAATGAGGGATAGAAGCCCTAAATCAGAAAATAGTAAATACAGAATATGCGGTCATATTCAATGAGATATGTTTGAAGCTAAATGGTGGATGTCTACTCTGGTCTCGGTTCTCTGACAGGCCTTTGACCCAAGCGATGGTTCCTACTGTGTTGGTGCAGTGGCCAGTAGTTGGTATCAAGGGCTGCATGCACTTAGGGCTTCCTTCCCTAAGCGCCCTGTGTGTATACCCCTTGGCATCAGGGTTCTCTTCCCTGGAGTCTTTGGGTTCCCACTCCCATAGAGGTAGCGGTTGCTTAACTTCTGCTTTGCCCTTGGTGTCAGCTTAGGTCTCGGTGCTTTCATTTGGCCCTGGGTAAGGAGTGGTTGTTGCTGGTTTGGGCGCACTGGGCTGCACAGCTTGTATAATTGCAGCAGCTGAGTCTCTTTCTGATGCCCTGGGTTGTGGTGCTTTCTCTGGGTTCTCTTTCCTACTTTTAGTTTTCTTTATTGCCCGTTGATAGGCTGCCAGGATTCCTATTAGGTGATACCTAGGTTCAGTAGGACAGTCCTCCTTTAGGCCTCCAAGGTTGTTCACCTCACATGTGCCAGTTTGCCCTGATAATATATGGGGTTTCAACCGGCTTAGGCAGCACCAGTGCCTGGGTTTGCCGTAGGAATACATCCCCATATGGGCCCTGGAAACCCCCGTTGGGGCTTGGTTGACTGATGGACATGTCCTCCGAGTCCCATCTCACCTTGTGCGAGTTTGAAGGTTGTTCGTTACTCCCTGTCTCATGGTGACGATCACCTGTTTTGCCTCCGTCATGGTGCTTGTTGGGTCAATGATACCTTCGACCCAGTCTTACGAGACTACTACTTATTCGTGCTCCAGTTTACCCATACTGATGTACTTGAGATTAGTGGTCAAGCAGTGAGCATATTGCATGCTAGGTTTAGGTTGCTGTGACGCACTAGGTTGGTTGCCCACTCGAGTGTTGGTCGTCTCAACTTTAGTTCAGTCCATGCCCATTCATCCTTCCCTTGTTGGCATGATTCGCCATGCTCCTTCCCACCTGCTACCGGCTCCCAAACGTCTCAGGGGTTTGGAGTCGAGGCAGGATTTAGCTGGGGATGAGACTCGGGCGGCTCCAGGGGTTGCCCCATTCTAGGCAGAGACGAAGGCATTTGAGCTCGTTCCTCCCGCCGAGTCTTCTGGGTCCTTCCAGCAGGACCCTTTCTTTGCTGTATTTCCCTTGGACTCTGCCTTTTCTTCAAGGGTGGAGGGCGTTAAGGCCAACTCTGCCCTGGATCCTGGTTTGGAGGATTCCGGGGTTGAGGGGGGGAGGCGGCCTAGGGTGCTTGGGCCCCTTTCGATCCTGCCTGGAGTTTGGTGCCTTCGGGGCGGGGTCTGCTGTTGCAAGATTCAGGGTTTTCATATCCCCATTCCGTGTACGAGTTTCATATGGGGTCAGCTCCTCCCCTCCCCTTACCCTGGGTTCCGTGGGGTCCACAGCTTCGTCCTTCTGGAGGTTTTCTACCTCTTGTATTTCCCCCCGAGGAGATTTGGGAGACCCTCGGTGTCTACCTCCTGCGAAACCCAGATCTCGCCTCTGTGATGGACCTGGTCTCTATCGAGTTTGGGTCTTTTTCCCCGTATTGTGGTTTATGAGGTTCTGGCATCTTCCTGGCTTGCAGACTGCCCTTTTTTTTCATTGGGGGGTATGACATACGTTCTGTCATACCCGCACGCTTGAGAGGCGAGAGCTCACTATGATTTAATGTTTGAATAATATGATTGAATAAAACAAGGCTCCCCGGAGCTTACCGGACTGATATGTATGTATTAGATGCAGTGCGGAGGGTCCAGGGACCCTTCCTCCCAGGGTAGAGGTGGGGGAAGTGGCACAAAGGCGGAGTGTAATGTTTGCTTGTTTTAAAATTTGGGGAGTTCTGTTTCTCTGTTCGCTCTTCGGTAGCAATTAAATTTTTTTTTACCATGTGGGGTTTGTTGTGTTACGCCTACCTTTCTGGATGCCAAACCCCGGTCGATGGCAGACATGGAATGCTTACATATACATGGAGGTTTTCATAGGCCATTGCTCCTCGTACCTCTCTGAGGGGGCCAGGTTCTGGCTCGTGGTTCTCGGTAAGTAAGAACTCCAATCGACTGATGCCACGGTCTAATACATACCTATCAGCCCAGTAAGCTCCGGGGAGTCGTAGTGGGGTTTCCCTCAGAAAAAACTTCATCTGTAACCCCATGGAAAATTCCAAATTAATCTACAGTACTTAAAGTAATTTATTTCAGGATGAGAATTGCTGATATAGAGGGATGGAGATAATAAGTTTATATGTGTTATATTGGAAGCATGCAGCTAGTGTCATTTAAGAGGGTCAGATGTAATTTGTTTGCAACAACTTGGATACTTACTGTATTTGGGAAGAGCCCGTTGGAAGAGTGAACTTCCATAAACGTCGACCAGTAACTCTCAAAACTTCTTTCTGGATAGATTTCATAAGTTCTTCCAATCCTAAATTAATGTAAGTAAAAATATAATATAGTGTATGAAAAAATTTCCATTGAAATCAATCTACAGTATTTATTAAATAATGTATCATAAAGACATTTATCTGGTGTAAGCTGGTAATATCAACTTCCTAATCAGCTTACCTAAGATTACATTGATAGAAGACTACAGAAATAATATACATTTCTAATTCAGTACATAAATAATTATATACCTTTCTCAAACAAACTAACAAAATCTTACCCTGGCCAGTAACTGAAGAGACTAAATGCACATCTCCCAATTCATCTTTAGGCTTTACCATTCCTAAATCAATTTTGTTAGCTACTGTAATAATAGGAGTCTTCTCTGGGAGAGGGAGAGAGGAAAGTGTCCGGACAACTGTGGCTCCTTGCGATTCATAATCCGGATGATTTGCATCACGGATGTGCACAACAACATCCTAAAATGATAGAGAAGTTTCTTATTGCCACGAGGATCAGAATATTGTCGATATACAGTAGAACCTTGAGTGATGAGCGCCTCAATTGGCGAGCATTTTGGGTAATGAGCGCCCAGATTGCAGACAATTCGTCCCGTATGGTGAGTGCTCGTTTGAATAACACCACCACCACATGGTGGGGTCGCGCTGCTTCTCGCACATTCTTGGACGCCTCCGACGATGCAAATAAATTATGCTTTTTTTGTTTAAAGATGCTAATGATGCTGGGATATAAAGGGGTGACTGTTGTGATGTTGCAAAGCATTGACTTTTATGTAGAAAATGAGATATGAAATTTTTTGAAAAACAACAAATGTCAAAAAGGTTGACAGGTTTTAATAAATAAAAAGTTTTTAATAAAGGTAATAAATATTAAATATACAATTTTTTTATTTAAGAAACATGGAGCAGCCTACCTGCCGAACACCGAACGAACCTTTTGCTAAAAAAAAGAAAGAAAAAATATTGAACAAATTTGAAGAAAGAAAAATGTCATAAAGGTTTGGCCAGTGTATGTAAGGTAGGCTGCTCCATTATTTAGAACATTGAATATCATATTGATGTTTTTCGGTGGTAGAACGGATTAATTTGATTTCCATTATTGTCAATGGGAAAATTTGTTTTGTATGACGTCCATTTCACATGACGAGCATGGCGCCGGAACAGATTAAATTCGTTATTCGAGGTTCCACTGTATTTTGTATGACTTAAATTAAGACTCTAAAGAGTACAAATGAAAAGGTTCTTTCAGAATTGATAGTTTGTTTGTTTCCTAAGATAAAATTCCTTCTGAGTCTATTGTACATTACTATGACAGTCAGGGCAGGTTAACATTAATGGGGCCACAGGAAACTTCTTTAATACCCTTGCAGAATCATATTAGTGCTGAAGAAACATTGGAGAACATTCAGTCCAGCCCAGCATGACCTAAAGATTCATGGATAAAAACTAAGCCTTTCTAATTCCACCATAGCATCACAAGTGGCTTCCAAGGAACACTCCTGCTGAATCCAGTACCAGGTGGTCTGCTCTCAAACCTCCAAATCACCACTAGCTGGAAGCTATCTCACTCAGTCAGTCCTTAAGTGTTCAGAATGGAAGGAGAGAATCAGATTTAATAAAAAATACACGGGACAGACTTACAGAGTGGTGCCCGAAGAAGTGGGGTGCCCAGCCACTGGCACAAGCCCCTGGAAACAATACACGGGACAGACTTACAGAGTGGTGCCCGAAGAAGTGGGATGCCCAGCCACTGGCACAAGCCCCTGGAAACAATACACGGGACAGACTTACGGAGTGGTGCCCGAAGAAGTGGGGTCCCCAGCCACTGGCACAAGCCCCTGGAAACAAGGGCACCAGTATAGCTACCAGAAGAGAAGATGGTATTGGGAAGAAAGGTTGTCCAATATTACTTCTTGGCAGCACAGGCAGAGAATTATAGGAAGAACATTGTACAGGAAATGGGGCTACTTCCAGAATGCCCAAGCCCTGAATTCAATTCATGTCATTTCCAAAAAAGAAAACTTATATGTGGCAATATATCTGACAATATATGCATAGGAATATGCCTGTGATGATTTATCTTAACCAAACTGGGAAGCAGCTGCATAATATGTAAATAAGGTAAGTTACTTTTACAAACACCCACACAAGGTTGGAGGATGCGGAAAAGAAAATACCAAGTTTAATGAGATGTCTGTTAGGTTCATAGTACTTTGTTTGGCACTCCTTCATGGCTCACCAAGTAGCAAGCTCAGAATTCCCATAGAGCTCCACCACATTTCTCCTCCTTCCTATAAAGGCAAGAGCTATTGATGTTCCCTAACCTAATGTTGTCATGCTCTCAGCAACAAAAGGCAAGAGAAGCCCTGAAGCAGAGCCAAGGCATGGCCTGATGGAAAGTCAAACAATCCACTATCACACATCACAGCGAGGATGTACGACTAAAAGTAACCAGTGCCCAATGTCAATAATCTTTTTTTTTTAATTGGAGAACTGAGCAGATTCCATGAAGGATTTTTACATGCTCACCAAGTAAACCCCTGTTGACTGTAAGCAAACCAGTTATATAAGAGCCTGAATCCACTGTACAGTATAAAGATTATGTTTTAATGAATAGACACACCCGGGAAGCGGCTGCCACAAGCTCCTCAACTCAAAGGTGAGACAACAGGCTGCAACACGTTTTCCAGTTCTTTCTTGTCCTTCTGACATGACGACAGTCAGGAAAAAATGTGACAAGGCTTGAGATGGACTGTGTTTAGGTGCTGCCCTCTGGTAGTAGGAGGGGTAGGCAGCTGAATGAGCCATCTAACACAGTAGTACAGTAATAAAGGACACTAAAGCGATCTCAGAGTTGTTGTAAAAGCTTCGAGTGTGTGTGAATTTTGAGCTTTCTAAAGCTCACTTTATCTGGATTATTTCCTCCAGTGCTCCCAAGAACAATATGACACAGTAGGTACTGTATGCCTGAACTGGGTAGAGTACTTAAACTGTCACGGTGCCTGATTGTATGAATCACTTCCTCATGCATGGTGAACTATTACCTTAGGAGGCAACCAAGTAAAATAGTTAATAAAATATTGTATTATTTGAATGCATATACTGTATCTTATATATACTTACTGCATACACAGCATCCTCTAATGTTGCAGTAAAGGATGCCACTAGACTTGTTGGAATATCTTGAATAAAGCCCACAGTATCTATGAAGATCACTTCAATACCACATGGTAGTCTGCCACCATGAGCCGTCACATCTAGTGTAGCAAACAGATGGTTTTTGCCTTGAGCTCGGTTATCCCCAGTGAGAGAGTGAATTAAGGTGGTTTTACCTGGAGTGGACAGAAAATTTGTGAGAATAACTCACCTTAACATCTATATTTAATGGATGAGTAAATGAAACTGTAGGGCCTATGCTAAGTGCCACAACCGGGAGATTTTGGTTATTAAAAAAGTTAATTATTTTAATGGAATGTGTGATCTTTTCCTTCAGTGCAACAAATTAAGTCACTATACTAGCATTATAAAGTGTGCACTGTGCTGTCAGTCTATTTTTCGGGGTAATATTTCTGCAGTTATATAAGGCAGCACATTCTTAAGTCCTCCTAAAATAATTCAAGTACAGTACTGTACTGTACTGTATTAACAAACCAAACCTGCACAATAAGCCTATCAGTAATTTTATTAAAATTTTAATAAAAAGCAAAAGCCATTTCAAATTGACATACTACCTTATAGGGCCAGAGAGTACGAAGGGATCAGAGATTGACCAGCAACTGAGGTGATCTGTCCTTAAAACAAAATGTCACAAAATTCACGAATTTTCTAAGAATTTTTGGAAATAGTTTAGCCACCAAACAAATTCTGAAACAGTTGACAAACTATCACCTACAATGCCCCCACTGCACCAGGTGAAGGAAATGTTTTAGAGATATATGCTTCATTCTGGCCCATAAAAGATTTGGAATTCGGTACCATTATGCAGGTGTGCCCATAAAAAGACACGTCAAGTAACAATTCACTTTCTTTAGCCCACCATGCCCTTTCTCGTTCTTGCATAAGGAGTTTTCATGTTTGTGACAATGTTTTGCATATTTTCCAAAAGAATCATTGGTTGCACATTGTTGCTAAAAAAAAATTTGAGGGAGATTAAGTTTTAGGAACACTTCTGTGTTATAATGGGCACTTTGTTTTGTGTGATTGATCTTCCTGTCCCTTTGAGGGAACAGACTTTGTACAGTACTGGGTGTCCCCAGCTTACTATAGCTGCCAATGTTGTTTTGCTCTTTAACCCAAAAAGCGGCATTGAATCAGAAATTAATTATAAGATTTTTTTTATAAATGACCCTTAATCATGACTGATAAAGGAAAAGGTTTGGTGGTGGCACATTAGGACCAAGAAAGAAATACCAAAACACTGAAAATGAAATAATAACAACATGAAACACAAATAACATGAAATAAATGACATAATATTTCTCCTTTCTATGAGTACCTTATTAAGGGGGCTTATCACACTAAATTAAAAGTTGTTCAATTTGCTTATAAATTTTTTTATGAAATGGTTATAGAAAGGGCTGCAACTGGTCCAAGTTTCACCATCACACCCTAAACAGAAAAGGAAAAAAAAAATACACAACGTATTATGCAACGAATGTTCAACATTCTCAAATAATCTCAGGAAACACATGTGTCAACTAAAATGTCTACTATGTGCTGTAGAAGCACAAACTCTTGTAATAATTGTAATATGTATGTGCAATATATTTATATGTAAATTTTTTTTTTTCTTTTTTTTTTTTTTGGCCAATTTTTTTTTCTCGTTTGTTATCAAGGGATTTGCATGAAACTTGCACACCTTGCTCAATGGATGCCTATCTGCAAGGGTGCCAATTATGAACGAAATCTGTCGAAGTCAAGCTCAGCTACAGGTGGCCGAACTTGGATCTTTATTTTACTCTGGAAAGTAATTTACAACTTCAAGGCGTTTCTCAGCTTTCATTTATTAATCAATTTACATGCAAATTACACCTTATATGTAGAGTTTGTGCTTCTACAAACCTATTGAGACATTTTAGTCCAAAGTCCATTTGTTGATTTTATAAAAATTTATAAACATCATATATTGCATATTTTTGGAAGGGTAACTTTGAAAAATTATATTATTGCACTAAACACTTTCTTTGATAAAACTGATCAATACAATCTATTATTATGTGTTAGTTTAATATATGAGTGTTATAGAAATGATTTTAGTTGACACGTGTGTTCCCTGAAATTATTTGAAAATGTTGAAAATTCGTTGCATAATACGTTGTGTATTTTTTTTCTCCTTTTCTGTTTAGGGTGTGATGCTGAAACTTGGACCACTTGCAGCTCTTTCTATAACCATTTCATAAATAAATTTATAAACAAATTGAACAATTTTTACGAAACCCGTAATATGCCCCCTTAACACAGACTGCACATGTGTATGGAGTAAACCACCCACCAATCAGTACCAAGACAAGACATATATTTTTAGAACATGTGAAGCATGTTTTAAAATGTTCCTTGGGGAGCCGGTCGGCCGAGCGGACAGCACACTGGACTTGTGATCCTGTGGTCCTGGGTTCGATCCCGGGCGCCGGCGAGAAACAATGGGCAGAGTTTCACCCTATGCCCCTGTTACCTAGCAGTAAAATAGGTACCTGGGTGTTAGTCAGCTGTCACAGGCTGCTTCCTGGGGGTGGAGGCCTGGTCGAGGACCGGGCCGCGAGGACACTAAAACCCTGAAATTATCTCAAGATAACCTCAAGATAGCATTCAGCACCAGTGACTCAACCATAATAACCCTAAAGCTGTGTTATTATCTCTGACAAGAGAACACTGCAGTTGTTACCTTCTCCTTCCTTATCCTTCACTAATAAAACCTCTCCTTAATAATTATCAGATCCGGTAAGCAAGTAACTCCAGCAGTCAAGGTAAGTAAAATTGGTGTTCATATACCATACCAATATTTATATTTATATTTTACTTTTTAAATTACAATCTTTTATGCTTTGGGAACCTATCACCCATTTATAGCATTGGAGCTGTGGGCATGTCTCATACGTCAGGCTGCGAGCAGCTGCGTCCAACAGCCTGGTTGATCAGTCCAGCAACCAGGAGGCCTGGTCGACGACCGGGCCGCGGGGACGCTAAGCCCCGGAAACACTTCAAGGTAACCTCAAGTATGTCTGAGTTCCGACCGATCCACTAACAATGGAAAGCCATGAAACCTATCCCTGTTATACAATGCAGACTCAACGTATACATAACATACAAATTATACAATACTGTACAGTACTTTAAATATATAAACTTTAATTATTTACTTTACTTTATGAACTTTTTGTATTTTAATATAATGTAATGTACTGTATACAGTGCAGAATATATAAGGCAGTATACAGTATTTACAATACTGTACTTTTATAAAGTAAATACCGGTAAATGATAGGAATATAAAATCACCTTACCAGCATTAGTGTAACCAACAACTGCAACTGAGGCCAGGCTTGATTTTTTTCTGCTTTTTCTAACCATTGCCCGAATTCCAGCTAACTTGGCGAGAGCATTCTTCAATTTCTTCTCTCTCTCCATTACCATCATGCGGTCAGTTTCCCCTGTTATGCTCTTTCTGCAAAATAACAAAATTCTATAATCTTAATCAGTATTTAGGGAAGGAGGAACAAACCCACCAAAGACCTTGGGACATCACATAGTACATCCAGGCATCCTGGAGCCAAACACACCTAAAAGTGCACAAACATCACTGCATTATATTGTTAATGGGGTATACAAAAAAAAAAAACAGTTTGGAATGTAATGAAACGCCATTTTCTGGGTGAGTCCCGGAGGTTTCCCGGAGCTATCCCAGGCTGGTATGCTAATGTCAGACTTTGGCATCAGTAATGTGTATGGAGTTCTTAGGCCTACCGGGGACCACGGCCAGAACCGTGCCCCCTCAGAGAGGCAAGGGAAGCAATGGCCTATAGAAACCCCCGTGTGGTTGGAAGCATTCTATGTCTGCCATCGACTGGATCAGGCACCCAGAAAGGTAAGCTCCTCAAAACAAACCCCTATTCTGGTTAAAATTGCTACCAAAAGCCGAACTAGTAGATAGAACTCCCCAACAGAAAACACGCAAACTAGTGTGATGTCACACGTTGCCGTGCCGCTGTCTGCGCAGCTCCCCGCATCCCGGGAGGGGGAAGGGGGAGCCCCAGACCCTTCACGCCTGCTATCTACACCTCAGTTCTGAGGCTGGATGTCAAAAACACGAAAAAAACGCCGACCGGAGGGAGAGAGGGATGCCGGGGAGCCTCCGGGACTCACCCAGAAAATGGAGTTTCATTACATTCAACGCTGGTTTTCTGGGGAGAGCCCCGTTGGCTCCCTCCGTTGGGTGGCCCCCCTCCCCCAAAGGGCGGGGGGGGGGGGGGGGGGGGGCACCCAACGCCACCGCAGGCCGACAGACACGACCCGAAACGCCCACAAATCGTGGGACCAGGCGTGGGCAAACAGCACAAGCCTCCCCCCCCCATCGCCCTGTCAATGGCGCAAACCGCAAAAGGGCTGGCGCCCCTTACGAGACACAGAACCCCGCACAGAGCAAACACCGCGCCGACCAGACGAGGGCGGGTCCGAAGAAGGAGCCAAACCCGAACCTGACACCAGTGGCCTACCACGATGAGAGGAACCCCGAGCCCTGGCACGACCCTTCCGGGAAGACCCACCCCGGGACCCCCGGATAACCAACAAGTCCGACATCGGACGACAAGCTGACGACGCAGCCTGAATAAACTGCGCCACGGCCGACTCCTCAAACAGAAGAGGACAAAAAGGCGATGACAGCCTAAGAGCCAGAGCCCAAGCAGATTCCATGGAGGAACCCAGCACTGCCTGCCGACATGCAAGATGGGAAGCATAAAACAGGGAAACTGCATCCCGCAATATCGGTGCGAAAAGCTTCAACAAGGCAGCCGACAAACGCGCTGCCGAGGACAAGGCGCCGTACCCTGGGACGGACCCAAGCGTCCTCACATCTTCCACAAGCCAATCCGAGGACAGCTCCAGGAGGGAAAAGAACCTCAAGGCCGAAGCCAAAAGGCCCCGGGCGCGCAAGTCCTCCGCCATGAGCGCTGCCGAATGGGTGGGAACCTGCATGTGGAGCTGAACAACGCCCACATGGCAAGGAAGGGCAGGGGCAAACAAGCACTCGTTCAGGTACTCAAGATCGTCCCCCAGGAAAACCTGAATCACCGTGAAAGCTTCCCGCCACTCCAGAGTGCGGGAACAACAGAAGGAATGCCAGGAATCCAGAACAAACAAGGGGCAGTCCGCTAGCCAGGAAGACTCAGGAACCTCGTAACAGAGCCAGAAAGGCAACGAAGTCCCAAACCTGAACTCGGACGGATCCATTTCCGAGGTATAATCCGGGTCACGCAGGAGGTACGCTGCAAGGGCCACCTGCACCACATCAGGTTGGTTATCTTGTGGTTATCTTGAGATGATTTCGGGGCTTTTTAGTGTCCCCGCGGCTCGGTCCTCAACCAGGCCTCCACCCCCAGGAAGCTGCCCATGACAGCTGACTAACACCCAGGTACCTATTTTACTGCTAGGTAACAGGGGCATAGGGTGAAAGAAACTCTGCCCAATGTTTCTCGCCGGCGCCTGGGATCGAACCCAGGGCCACAGGAACACAAGTCCAGTGTGCTGTCCGCTCGGCCAACCGGCTCCCCAAATGGTCCTTCGGTCCTCCAACCGGTCCTCCTCGACCGGTTGGATGCGATAAGCCGAAAACCTCCGAAAAGACGGAACCGACGCACCCGGGGGAACTTGGGACCGATCCCGGGGAGAGGCCAACACCAAATCCAACTCGTACGCAGAGGGGGGAAAAAGAAAACCCCACACCTTGTAACAACAAGTCTCGCTCAGAGGGAAGAAAAAGGCAGGGTCCAGCGGGGCCTAAGGCCCCCAAGTCAGCCCCTCCCCAGCCTCGAGGTCCTTTACAGCAGGACCCAGGGCCGAGTCCTCTCCCCAAGCACCGACCCCACAAGACAAGGACGGAGCAACCGTAGAAGCCGGAAGAAAGGGGGCCCACTGGTTAGATCCAGAAGCTTCGGCCGGGAGACATGACTCGAATGCCTCTGCCACCCCCCCCCCCCATCCCCGGAAGGGGCATCCCCTGAAGCTGCCCGAGTCTCAAGATCAAGTAACCCCTGCTCCGACTCCGAAACCCTCAGACGCTTCGGGGCCGGAAGCAGGGGGGGGTGGGGGACCAGAACGAACAACAGAAGGGGAAGGACGAGGAGGTGCAGACTGAACCAGGATCGAAGCGACCCCCACCCCAAAGTCCGGGTCTCAAAAAGCAAAGCGGGGCAGCCCCAGGGCATCCGGGTGAGCAACCAACCAAGTGCGTTGCAACAGACGAAACCTAGTTTGCAACGCACACGCCGCCTGCACCTGAATAGAATCATTAGAGGATTGAGTAAATTGAGTCACAAGCAAGCAGCAACACTCACAGGACTTAGGGTCGAAAGTATCACCGACCCAACAGGCAGCATGGCAGAGGCAAAAACAATGAGGGTCACCCCGAGACAAGGGGACCGAGCAACCCTCAAACTCTCACACAGCGAGCGGGGACTCCGGGGTCACATCCATCGGATACATGCGCCCCCTAGGGGATTTCCAGGGTCCTGAGCGTTTACTTTAAGAGGACTCTCGCTCAGGTAGTCCCAGGCAGGGTGCAGCTAACCGGCGCCCAAAACTACCAAGAAAACTTCTATAGCTGTACCCCAGGGACGTGTACACTCAAGGGGACCTAGCAGGGGGCGCCACCGAGGAGAACCGTGGAAGGGCAAACACCAGTGGAATAATAGGGCAGAACCCCCCACAAGGCAAAAAGAAAAAGAAAAACAAAACCCCGCAAGAGGACAGCGAACTCCAAGGAACAGAGCCGGCCGCAATGTTGGGAATACAAAGCTGCGCAGCACTCTGTGCCCCTACCGATGCAAACTGCCTCTTACCTGCAGGTAACAAGGGAGAACAGAACACCCAAGAGCCCAACAGGTGGCCGAAAAACCGAACAGTAGAACGGACCAGCAGAGGCAGGTCCCGAGGAGCCTGTGGAAGGTGGCCCCAAGCTCCAAGGGAGTACTTACAGGGCACCTAGGGAAGGCAGCCCTAGGTGCATGCAGCCCAAGTACTGATGATAACTCCTGGCTCTCGCACCCACAGAAAACAAACTCCACCCACGAAGCACAGTACTGTAGCGACACCGGAGCCAGAGCACACGATCTTTGCCTAAGGCATCAGCCTCAAGAACTGAGGTGTGGGTAGCCGGCGTGAAGGGTCTGGAGGGTCTGGGTCTGGAGCTGTGCAGACAGTGGAGCGGCGATGTGTGACGTCACACTAGTTTGCTTGTTTTCTGTTGGAGAGTTCTACCCACTAGTTCGGCTTTTGGTAGCAATTTTAACCAGAATAGGAGTTGTTTTGAGGCGCTTACCTTTCTGGGTGCCTGATCAGTTCAATGGCAGACATAGAATGCTTCCAACCACACGGAGGTTTCTATAGGCCATTGCTTCTCGTGCCTCTTCTGAAGGGGCCAGGTCCTGGCTCATGGTCCCCGGTAGGCAAGAACTCCATTCGCATTGACTGATGCCAAAGTCTAATATTGTATATCTAAATAACATTTAACAACAGATACAAAATGGATAAGTTTAAAATCAGGAAAAGGACCTGTGTAAATACTGTTCAGGAAATAGGATTATAGACTTTTGTATGACATTACTGTACAAGGAAACATTATAGATGAAGGGTTCTTTGTGTCTACTAAATATATGAGTAAGCAATTTTGGATAAAAATATTGGTGGCTTGCATGGTAATGAGTTTTCTCTGACCTAACATGCTATAAATTTGTAAACTTGTTATTTTTTATAAATATCTTCCATACTGTATATAGTTTTCATGCCACATTGTAGATAATAGTTTTGTTTTTCAGGTAGTGTCTGACCACTGTCATTTTACATTAACAAGGAGTTTTAAGGGTTTAAGAAACAACTGAGCAAGCCTTTGGCTATATAAGTTGAATATGACAAAGAATACTCTGTATAGGAAACTCAATACAGTATGGCCAAAGAGTGCATTCAATAGCATAACATTCAAATCTTCACACTATATGAGGAGTGCTTCTACTCTCCAATAAGAGTGCTTTTATGAACTAAATTCAGGCAATGCTCCTGTTAATTTCCTAATTCTAGCAGAAACATTATAGGGTACACAAACCTGATGTATGGCAATTCTGCTAAAGCCACTTGTAATTTAGCTTCTTTTGTGCGAGCATGATGTCGAAATATACCCAGCACTACAGAATAACGATCCAAAACCTTTAAGCCAAATATTTCTTCAAGTTCTCTGAAAAGAGAGACTGAATTTAATATTAAATATATTTCTATACTTCTATACTCTAAGGTCAAATGACTGATCAGAAATGTATCATAATTTTTTGTAATAATCCTTTTGTATGTATTTTGTATACTAGGACCCTTCAATATACACACCTCCATAAAATGAGTTCTTTGAAATAACAGACGAAATTTTTGCTCTGGAAAATTTCCTCAAAAGGTAACACATACAAGGAACAACAGTTTCAAGCTTGACAAGCCACAGTGTTGGACTGAGAACAGATGCTTTTTCACCCACAGGGTTATAAACCCATGGAACTGCTTACCTGCCAAAGTCATAAATGCCAAGACTGTTTAATTTCAAAATCCAACTGGAAAAAATTATGAAGGCAAATGGTGGGGGGGAGGGGGGGGGGGACCTTCGACAAGCTGTCAGCTTCCTGTCCTCGTCGAGGCCACTAGTGTCAGTGGCCCTCAGGTAAATTCAGATAAATTCAGGAAAACTGCAAGATGGATCACCCTCCAAAATTTGGACTTGTCAGAAAATCTGAATTCCAGCAAGGATACATCCACCCCCAAATGCCAGCAAGAAGGGCTCTGTGAATCAAAATAACTCTGAACCCTCTGCAAATCAAAAAGAGCTAGAACAGAACAGACAACACTAATGACAACTGACACAAAGGATGGATATTGAAGAGAGGAACATGGAAAGCACATTAAGCCATCACATAGGATTGCTGTGAAGAAAGGTGAACCACTCAACTCCAACCCAGGAGACTGAACACAAGGCCAAGAAACCCCACGCACAAAGAATGGCAGAAAGCTGCAAACAACTGAGAGCTCAACCATAGAACACAACCTGCAAGTCCCAACCCAGTAAACCTGCAAAGCAGGAGGAGGTTGAATTCATGCCTTCTGTCAATGTCATACAATTTCAAAATGGCACCCAATAGACTGGAAGCTGTAAAAACCATGCAAAGACAAACAGGCCTACCTGCAGATGGCCAAACAGTTAGTAAAGCCAGAGGAAGGAGCCTCTGTCCATTGTCCACTCCATCGAAATAGAAGGAAAGAAAGAGATTGCATATTTTTAGACATAAGCTTGGGGAGGAGTTCACTTGCCAAATACTTCCTCAGAATGTAGGTTTATATACCTATAGGTAAACATATAGGCAAAAGGAAGAAGATAAAATGGAGTAAGTATTTGAGTGATGACGTACATGTAGAAAAAAGATGTAAAAGTAGTCCGAAAGAAACTTTTGACCAGAGAAAGGTCACCTCTGATGCTGAGTGTGTTTGGAAGGCTTCTTTATTTTGCATAAATTGACTACTGTTTATTATTCTGAGCTGGATTGAGTATTCTTCAGTAACTTCCTGACACCTATAATGACTCTGCAGGGAACATTTTTTTAGTCTCTTGTGGCATCACTACCAATACAGAATATATAATGAATATATAATATATAACAATATAATGTCATTATAATGACGGCAGGGACCACTTTTTAACATCTCTTGTGGCATTACTACCAATACAGTATGTCATTATAATGATGGCAGGGACCACTTTTTAATATCTCTTGTGGCATTACTACCAATACAGTATGTCATAATGACGGCAGAGACCACATTTTAATGTTTCTTGTGGCATCACTACCAATACAGTAAGTCATTCTGCCTGATTGCATGAGCCTGACCAAAGACACCATCAAACACACATCAACAAACTGGGAAAGGTGCAAAGACATGCAACTAAATGGCTCCCAGAACTGAAGGACAAAAGCTACGAGGAGAGATTAGCGGCATTAAATATGCCAAAAGTAGAAGATAGAAGTAAAAGAGGCGATATGATCACTGTGTACAAAATATTAACGAGAATCGATAAAATTGACAGGGAAGAATTCCTGAGACCTGGAACTTCAAGAACAAAGGGAAGAATTCCTGAGACCTGGAACTTCAAGAACAAGAGGTCATAGATTTAAACTAAGTAAACAAAGCAGCCAAAGGAATATAAGAAAATTCACTTTCGCAAACAGTGGTAGACGGTTGGAACACGTTAAGTGAGAAGGTGTTGGATGCCAAAACTGTCAGTAATTTCAAAATGTTATATGACAAAGAGTGCCGGGAAGACAGAACATCACGAGCATAGCTCTCAACCTGAAACTACACTTAGATAATTACCAGACCTTCCCCAGATGAATGAGACAGCTGAAAAGAAAAGTTTGGATATTATGGATGCAGTGAATTACTGTTAACATTATCCCCTAACAGAAACACATCATTGTACTGTTGATTTACATGATAGTTATACATACATTACTTGTGACTTCTTCATCATGTTGACACTAATGAACACACAGGAAACTATGTTGAGGGAGCGTGCTTTGGAAACGAGTCTGTCCATTGTCCCAGAGCCAAAGATTTTCTTTCCTTTTAAGTCTCTTAGTGGCACAACCTCCTATAAGAAAAATAAATATAAGAAAATCCATTCCAAGATCAATTGAAGTTCCATATTAATTTTTTTTGTACTCTAACCATTCTGTATTAAAAAAATAGTCCTGGTATATCAGCTTAATTGTAAAGCATTTGTATTCAAACTCTTTCTAGCACTTGTCTTCATACTACAGTAATTACTAATGTTATTAGTTGTTATATCCCTCTAAAAAGACTTAATTTGAATACATGCATTTTTGACCTACCAAATACATAATAAGCATTCAAGGGCCTATATTCATTCCAACAGTTCCTCACCATTTCAAAACCAAAGTAGGTGTACAGTGCTCTTTGTAAATTGTCACACACACTACATACAAAAACATTTTTACCTCTCTTCAAACCCCTTCCTCCCAGCCTGGTCCCCTACTGTAAACAGTTTGTGGTCCACAATCAATCCACACGTTCACCACCTTCCTCTCATCTAACCTTGAATTCACTTGAATATGCCATTTCACCAGTCTTTCATCATTCATTCATTCAATATGCCCAAACAGTCTGGACATTTACTGACTTTTCCTCTCCACATCTCTCCATATCAGTTCCAATCCTTATTCTATCTATTTTGCTAACAATGTCTACACATCTTATACCAAAAAACCAGCGTTGAACGTAATGAGACGCCATTTTCTGGATGAGACCCAGAGGCTCCCCAGAGCTATCCAAGCTGAATGGGTATGTATAACTTTCTGGCATCAGTCAATGTGTATGGAGTTCTTACCTACCAGGGACCACGAGCCAGAACCTGGCCCCCTCAGAGAGGCATGAGGAGCAATGGCCTATAGAAACCCCCCATGTGGTTGGGAGCATTCTGTCTGCCATCGACTGGATCTGACACCCAGAAAGGTAGGTGTCCCAAAACAATCCCTTATTCGGGTGAAACTATTGCTACCGAATTAGCAAACTGGCATGACGTCATCATGTCGCCAAGCCGCCGTCTGCGCAACCCCCTTCTCCCTGAGAGGGGAAAGGGGGGAGGGGGGGGAAAGCCCCAGACCCCCCACGCCAGCGATTTAGTTCTTAGGCTGGAAGTCAAAAATACACAAAAACACCGCTGACAGGAGGGAGGGAGGGAGGGAGGGATGCCGGGGAGCCTTCAGGTCTCGCCCAGAAAATTACGTTTCATTACATTCAACGCTGGTTTTCTGGGAGAAGGCCCATTGACTCCCCGGAGCTACCTCATCAAAGATGAAGAAAAGAGGGAAGGACCCGGGAAGAGGACGCCACGCGCCCTAACTCAAAGACAAGACAACCGATAAACCGAAGGACCCAATAGACAATCCGGGAGACCCGAACCCCGGAACAGGAAGGAAGAAAGGGAACCTGGACAATCCAAAATGCCCCCTACGGCCACAGAGGCCAAGACGTGCGGCGAACAGCAGAAAGCCGCAACTGAACACAACACATGATTTCCCCCCGACTTGACCAACTAAGCATCAACAACCCAAGGACCCCTCTGGAGAGCAACAGACTCATTCTATGCCCCCAAAAAAAGACGACGACTGCAAGCGAACAAAATGACCACCAGGACCAAAGGAACAGAAGCCTCTGTGCCGGAGGAGAGCATAAAGCTCCCCGACCGGACCACCAGAGGCCAATGTCAACAGGAAAAAAAAAGAGCCTTGGAAAAACAAACCTGAACCGAAGGGGCCACCACAAACCGAGGAGAAGAGACAAGAGTGCTCTCTTGTCTCTTGTCTTGCTGGTCTGATGACCAGCCATCCTGGTCCAAAGACCAGGATGGCTCGGGAGGCGTATGAGCAGGCCTGCTTGATACCTGCTTGATGGGGTTCTGGGAGTTCTTCTACTCCCCAAGCCCGGCTCGAGGCCAGGCTCGACTTGTGAGAGTTTGGTCCACCAGGCTGTTGCTTGGAGCGGCCCGCAGGGCCACATACCCACCACAGCCCGGCTGATCCAGAATTTCTTTTAGAAAACAGTCCAGTTTTCTCTTGAAGATGTCCACGGTTGTTCCGGCAATATTTCTTATAGTCGCTGGGAGGACGTTGAGCAACCGCGGACCTCTGATGTTTATACAGTGCTCTCTGATTGTGCCTATGGCACCTCAGGGGGCGGGGGCGAAAGAACACATGAGATAGCTTGCAGAATGGGGCAGAAGTAACATCAACACCGAACGCAAGCTGAAGTGGCTCTGTCAGCGCTGCACAATACGAGGTGACAGTATGCGGTATCAGATGGCAGTCCTAGAACAACCACAAAAGGAAGGACAGAATAACCCTATCAGAGACCGAAGAAGACCTACACAGTGACAGGAAAAACCGGAAGGACCGCCAGGAAACTTCAAACTGCCGCCGAGACGAAGCACAGGTGGGAGACCAACAAAGAAGCCACCTGCGCCCCATGTAAGTGATGATAAACTTTGAGTCAGAAACTCTAGACGCGAAGATGCGAGTTGAAGAACGAACCAGCCTTGTACCGGGCTGGACTGATCTGCTGAAAGAGGAGCCGTGGGAAGACCCTCGGGTTCGGACACCGAGCAAGCAGCGCCTGAAACCAAAGCTGGGCCGGCCACCAAGGAGTCAAAAGGACAACTCCCCCCCATGGTAAGACCCCAAGCAAGCCAGGACCCAGAGTAACAGCTGAACCAAGGGAAAGAGGTACAGGTAACCTCACCTCGTCTGCCGGAAGGTGTCGACCCCGACAGCCTTGCAATCGGGGAAGGGCTTCACGTACACCGGGAGACGCCTCAACCACACCGAAGCGAAGAGATCCACTTCCAGAGGCCCGAACGACCGGCAGAACCAACTGAACGAGTTGGTGTCGACCGTCCATTCCGTGGATAAGGGAATGAACCGGGATAAGGGAATGAACCGGGACATGCTGTCTGCCAAGACATTGGACACCCCCCGAACGTGAACCGCCAGGAGAGCCAAACCTAGAGAAACTCAGCAGATGAGTCACTTGATGTGACCAGCCCCAAAGAGCCAGGGACCGCAGGGAACCCCCTCGGTTCAGGCAATGAACCACCAGGGAACAGTCCGGATGGAGCCTGATCGTCGATCTGAGAGCGACACGAACCCTTTGGAGTGACATCCACACAGCCGCGAACTCCCACACTGTGCTGTGAGCCTAACAGGAGGACGGACCCCACCGACCCTGACTGGCCTGGTGAGCACTGGTCACAAAGCCCAAGCAGACAGACGATGCATCCATGAACACATCAAACGAGGGCTCGAGTAGGCCCCAAGGCAATGAACCCCGAAAAACCCGAAGAGTAAGCTGGCAACACAGCAACCGATGCAAAGCCCCAGGAGGCCAAACCCGGCGTTCGCGGGAGAGGCAGAAGGGACATCTCCGAAGGAACCACAACAGCCGACGAAGTCACACCCGACCCAGCAGGTAGACCATCATGGCAAAGTTCAGGCTCCCGTACGAACCCACGAGCAACCGCCGCGTGACCCGAGAGCTCCTCAGGAACAGACGAAGGCGGGAATGCAGGCGAAGCAGAGCCTCCGGAGGAATAGACAAGGAAGCTTTCCGAGCGTCCCACACAAGACCCAGCCAAGACTCAACCTGAGAGAGAACCAGATGGGACTTCTGCCAATTCACTAAAAACCCAAACCCGAAGCCGGAGAGTCGGGGAAAAAAAAATAAATCCCTGGCGAGCAGACAGGTGGCCTGGGAACCCAAACCAGACAGTCGTCGCGGTAGACCAAAACCCTAACACCTGACCCCCCCCCCCACTCTGAGGGGGGCCAGGTTCTGGCTTGTGGTCCCCGATAGGCAAGAACTCCATGCACATTGACTGATGCCAGAAAGTTATACCTATCCATTCAGCCTGGATAGCTCCGGGGAGCCGACGGAGCCTCCCCCCCCCCCATCCAGAAAGGAAAGTTGATAATACAGCCCATCCTCCTGTTTTGGTAGTACTTATAGTAACGATGAGGACCATAGTATATATACCAATGTACTGTACGCCAAAATTATAAAGTAGAAATCTGAACTATTGAGGTGGATAAACTGGAAAACAATTTTTTACTTGTGTTGCTTTGACAAACTAACCTAACCTAACCTTCCTAGGCCTAATACACAATATCTGAGGCCTAATATAGTACATATGTGTGCTATACTAGGCCTAGGAATATTTAAATTTGTGATTTATCTTCATTTATTTTAAATGATTTCCTTACTAGTCAGTATACTACTATCTAAAAGCTAGGTATGTACGAATTCGTGACTATTGGTGATCATCACAATAGGTACTAATTAAACAGAAGGATGGGTTGGGTAATACAACTACTGTACTAATAAGCAATATTATAATTTACTTGTATAAAAATAGTTAGGATACTGATAATATTAAGTTTCATTACTACATACAGTACAGGTAAATCTAATAATGTGCCATTATCACCTTATCCACAACATGGACGCCTGGTAATGTAGAGACCAGAGCAACTGCTTCATCCAACATTAACTGTGCTGTAGTGTTCCCTCTCTTATGATACCCCCACTTGACCCATGGCTGAAGAACCATCACACCCAGCTCTGTTCTGGATGCTAACTGAGACCCAATAAATTCCAAGATATCCACCTCACTCCTAAGAACTTCAAAATCTGGGTCTTCTAAAAGATTATCATCCGTTATTTCCTCCTCGCTGTCAACGGGCGGGTTTATTTCTTTATTTTTCTTCGATCTCAAATTCACAGTTGCTGTAGTAAATGAGACTTTCCATGTTAAGTTGTTGGGGTTAATTATTCTCAGACACGCAGGACTTGTAACGTCTCTTGTTGAGCATAACTCATAAAATTTATCATTTGTTCTTTTGAAAATAAGAGAAGTTCCAAACAATGAAGAACATGAATAATTCCTTCTAATTTGATACAAGTTTAACAAAGAAATAGATGATCTAATTAATAGAGTTTTCTGTGCAGAGATTCCTGCTCTCAAAATACCATAATAAGCCATTATGATAAGTAAATGCTGAAATGTTCACTATAATGAAGAGTATTGACTGTATAATTGCACCACTGTCATATTATGGCAATTTTGGTAAATATTGGTATTTTACCTTTCTTGTGTATAATTTATGCAATATAATATACAGAACAGTACACTGAATTTCATATAAAAAAGTCCAAATACAATTTCTTTCTTTTAGTCTTCCTGTTTACTTTTCAACCTGGTGGTGTGTGTCAGAGAGAGAGGTAAGATAAGTGTGTTTATCCTCAGCGGCCATCCACCCAGCTTGACAAGCCCTGGCTCGCACAGCTGTCACTTGGTAAGCCACACAGCAAGCCACCAAGCTTGACACTATAATATGATTCTTGCGGCTATATGGAAGGTATTTGATCAACAAATGCTGGCTGATGTATGTGCCTCCAAATGCTGAAAAGAAAGAAGCATGTATTAATAATAATAATAACGTACTTGTATAGTGCAATAAAGCTATAAAATGTACTTCATAATTACAATACTGTACAGAACAAATTATAATTGTTGTAAGGTTTAAAATATAAAAATATAAAATTGACTAAATATTTCTTACAGAGGAGCCTTCGAAATACAAAACTTGAAATAACTAACTCAGTACATCTAAATAACAGAGTGATTTTGGTACAGGAACGCCCACTGAAAATGCAAATATAGATCCAAATATTTTATTGTTCATAGTAGAATCCAGTATGTCACATGCCTTGTGATCCAGAAACGGAGCCACAAACTATGTTGCCAGTCTCTAAGAGGAAAACAGCTCCACATGTGGATAACCAAACATAATTCATTGTGTTTTGACATCTTGTAAAGCCAAATCAAGGAGGCCTTGTCCACCACCAACTCTTTTGAAATGGAATGGAAACGAAAGAGACCATCGGCATAAATGTTTTGAAATGGTCCGACTGTGAACCGTATTGAAGACAATCTTTTGAAGTCAGAAGATAGGCTATCCTCAGAATCCATCCCCCATAGGAAAAAGCAGCAAACCAACACCACCCCAAACTCTGCTGAGGCACTGATCCACCAGTGCACAGTCCAAAAGAAGATAAAGAGTTATTTGGGATGTGGGACAAGGAAAGAACCCAGTGAGAACAGACAGAGATAAAAGAAACCTTGAACCTAACAGGTCATATGATGGATGGTCATTAGGGTCTAAAAAACACCGAAGCACATTCAAGGAAACAGCAAACAACCGAGTCGGGTATAGAATCAGATAAGGAAGCTGTAACAATATAGCTATCCACACCCCAGTTCTGTGGCTGATGAGAGGCTGGCAAGGTCATGCAACTCTAGCTCCAGATTTCCAGTCCTGTGTCTTGTGGTGTGGTGCTGTCTTCAGTGATGCGCGAGCCAGGAGTATATTCACAAGTACTCGGGCTGCTTGCGCCTAGGGTCACCTTCCCTAGGTCACCTTCCCTAGGTGCCCAGTAAGTACTGCCCTTGGGGCAATCTTCCAAAAGTCACCTTGGGGGGCTACTTCCATAAGGTTTTTTGCTGCTCAGTGATCGGCTGCCCATGGAGTCAGCTGGGGTGTTTCCTTCACCCGTATTTGCCTCTGGGTAGGGGGTAGTATTCGTCACTGGTTGGGGTGCAGGGTACTGTGCAGCTAGTTATAACCTCTCATAGCAGCTGGCTCTGTTCTGCCTGGGTATGTTGTCCCCTTGCAGGGTTTTTCTTTTGTTTTGTTTTGTTTTGTTTTTCATTTTATCACCCTGCCTGACACCCTACTGGAGGCAGGGAGGGTGCCAGGGAGCCTGTCAGCTCCCTAGAGCTAGATACCCAAAGATAAGTAAAGGAGGACTTATCTGGGAAGCGGCAGCACCGCATGCCTCATGACGAAAATGGGACAACTAGCTGCAACCGACGACCCAAGGCCACACAAGACTGCTGAGGGCCTGAAACGTTCACGAGATAACGGGCAGCCAGGACCCTGTTGGACCTCTAAAATCCCCTTGCCCGAATGTCAGCCCAAGACATGTTCCTAAAAACGGCAGCGAGAGTCGCAAACTTTTGAACAGCATGGGCACGAGGGTAGACCGCAGGCTGGCTAGACTTGATAACGCTGCAGACGACCTGAGAGACCCAAGCCATGGAACAGAGAACGATGGATATCGGATCAACCCAAAGCGCGTCCTCAGACACAGAACCTGAGGCGTGCAGGTAACAGCGTAAAGCCGCAACCAGACACAAAACATGATGCACGCCCAGCCTGACCAACCAAACATCAATACCCCACGGAACCCTTCAGAAGCCTGCCATCTCATTTATCGCTAGAAAAGGAGGAGACGGCTGCAAACGAACAAAACGTCCACCAGGACAGAAAGAGCAGAAACCCCTGCGCCAGAGGAAAGCATGAAGCTCACCAACCCGACCCCCAGAGGCCAAAACCAACAAAAACAAAGCATTTTGAAAACAATCTTGGAACAAAGGCGGCCACAAGCACCCAATTCAAAAAGACCATGACGACTCAGGCGGTGCATGAGCAGGCCAGAGGAGGAAAAAAGCACGAGAAAGCTTACGGAATGGAGCCGAAGTGACATCCACCCCAAATGCAAGCTGGAGTGGCTCCGCCAGTGCCACATGATAAGAGGCAACAGTATTCGGCATAAGATGTCGGTCCTGAAAGAGCCAAGAAAGGAAAGACAAAACAACACGAACAGAAACAGAAGTCATCCTACGAAGAGAAAGGAAGTGGCGAAAAAAACGCCAAGAGACTTAATACTGTCACTGAGAAGAAGACCGCAGGTGGGACACCACGAGAGAAGCCATCTGATCACATGTAATGATACACGCGCGTCAGAAATACCAGACACGAAGAGCAAAAGAGTAGATCCGAGCCAGAAAGGTTCCTCATTGGCCCGATCTGCTGAAAGAGGCAGAACCACGGAAAATGCCACGGGTTTGGACACCGAGCAAGCAGTGCCTGAAATCAAGGCTGAGTCAGCCACCATGGGGCCAGAAGGACTAGCGTTTCCTGATAGGACTCCAGCCAAGCCAGAACCCAAAGCAACAGCAGGACCGGGGAATAGAGGTACAGGTAACGCCACCTGGACAAGTCCTGTCGAAAAGCTTCTACTGTGACAACTTCGCAGTCAGGGAAGGGTGCTAGATATAATGGGAGACGCCTTGACCACGCTGACGTGAAGAGGTCCACCTCCGGGGCCTGAACGTCCGGCAAACGTTTGAGGTGAGGAGCAGGGCGAACCACACCAACAGGGAATGGACTCAGGGGTGTGGACTGAACCATGGTCGAAATGACCAATGCCCCCAACTCTGGGTCCCTAAAACCAAAACAGGGCAGCCAGGGGCATTCGAGCAGGTAATCAACCTAGTGGTTGCAACAACCTAAACCTAGCATGCAACGCAACAGCTGCTTGACCCCTAATATCTCCCGAAAAAACCAGCGTTGAACCTGTTCCCTTCAGAGAGGTACGAGGAGCAATGGCCTATAGAGACTGCCATCGACCGGCAACGAGTGGCACGTCAGTTTGATGACAATTTGCTTGTTACCTTTTTTTTTTGGGTGGAGTTCTTGGACTCTGTTTGGTCTTGGGTTACAATTTTGCCCCAAAGAATGAGGTGATTTGGTAAAATGCTATGCCCAAGATTACTATCCGAGTGCCGGCGGTGGGGTGGTTCAAATAGCTTAGGCTATCACCTCATTATGTCCGGTCGTGATGGTCAAGTGGATTAAGGCGTCTTGTACATACCAGTTGCGTTGCTCCTGGGAGTATGGGTTCGAGTCACTTCTGGGGTGTGAGTTTTCAGTTGCATATTGTCCTGGGGACCATTCAGGCTTGTTCGCAATTATATACCAGTTGGTGTCTGTTTTGGGGCCCCTACCTTTTTTGGGTGCCTAATCCTGGTCAATGGCAGACATGAATATACTCTCAAAGAGTAGAGTTTTCATAGGCGATTGCTCCCTTTACCTCTGAGAGAACCAGGTTCTGGATCGTGGTTCCCAGTAGACATAAGAGCGCCATATGACTGAAGCCCCAGACTAACATAGCAAATATCAGTTCGATAGCTCCAGGGAGCGAACAGGGCACCCCACAGAAATTAATATTAAGGAGGAAAAATATTCAAAGTCCATAACCATTTTAAGTTACTGTAATATATAAAATAAATATTTAAGAAGCAATTTACCTAAGCTAAACGATGCCAGTCCTGTTAATAAAGTTCGAGACATGCATTCCATATAGCTTCCAAAGGCTGGAAATGTCTCTTTATACTGATTAATTAACTCGTTGTTGTTGTTCATCCTTCACTGAAAAAGACAAGATAAACAATATTCCTGTAGAGTAAAAGACACCAGATGAGTGAACTAAATTTGTCTTCTTTATCATATGATTCGAGCAACAGATGAATCAAAGCCCAAAATAAAATACTTTATACAAAACTCATTGGTGCTTAAATATGACAGAAAGAGCATATTGTTGTACATGCAATACTCATTGAAATATTAACCCAAACTGGTGGCATTTGGAGTATCATGGCAAAACCATAAGTTTGCATGCATTTGCAAGGAAACTTTACCAGTACTGTACTGTATAACCATTTACATTAGTCTAAATTATATACTCCTTCATTTACATACTATTAAGGAATTTTAAAAAATAGCAACTTTGTTCCTAATATTTTGCCCCATAGGTGGCAAGAGATTCACACTGAAAGTTGTCAACAATAATCACTAGGTATCCCAATGTTTGATGGCTCATTTCTTGAAAACCATTGACCACTTAGATATGATATTATGGGACATGGTAGCGCAATGCATTAAGACTCTATACTGGTGTTTTTAAATTATTTTGCTATATTTTCCTCATGGACAACCAAGTTCACTGTCTCATTCCTTGGGAACCAATAACCACAATGGTCCGATATTAATATACAAGGTTGCATAGTATGTTTGCCATTGGTGGCAGTCTCAATTGATTTGCAGATGCTAGGTTATAGTGTGCTGATATTGGAAATGGAGCTACTTTTTATACTGGTCTCCAGACCACATTTATTACTCAGCAAGTCCCATTTCAAAGGTTTCTACCCCTTAGTCACCTTACAGTTTAAGTTGTTACAGTTAAGTTTTACAGTTGCCTGAAAATAAAAATAAAATAAAATCATATATAATCCCTCAAATTTGAAAATAAAAATGAGCTATTTATGATTTTCATAACATATGCAATGAATCATGGTACAAGAATGTAACAACTCTTGTATATATCTCAAAAAAAAAAAAAAATGGATATACAGTACTGTATTAATGTTACGGTGTTAATTCTAACAGGTTTGTGTAAGTTAACTTTCATGTTTCAGTATGTTGTTAGAGTATTTGACAAGTTACTGATATTTTGTGGTTTTTTGCTAACTACTGTACTAATACATCAAAGTGCTACTGTATATGTTTTCACAAAATGAACATCCAGAGGGTGTTGGCTGTTGATTTATGACTTTGCCCTCATTTACTAGTTTTATAAACTCTTAAATATTTATTGCACTTACATTAACTTCCAAATTAATGTAAATTCACAATGTACAGTATACCTCAAATAATTTATTCACGTTAAGACTTCCCGGTACCTATAATGCTGTGCATGTTAGTGGTTTTACAAGATTCTAAATCTGTACATTGTTATATGAGCCTATTGTAAACTTATTTATAGGTATTTTAAATAAATTAATATATGCAATAAATTCAAAATGAAGGTGCAGAGCATCAGACTATACAATAAGTAATTAACTGCCAAAAGAAAGCACTATGCCTGTGTGGCTCTAAGTTTATAGGATAAACTTACCCAACTCCAGACACTGGCACTGCTAAAAAAATTTTTTTTTATCTATTGTCCTGTAAAACGACACAAAAAACTCACCAGACTCTGCATGCAGTAAACGGTGCCATAATTAAAAATGTTAATATTGTAGATATACACAAGTAAATATTTTGGGAAAATATTTGTGACCAACATTTTCTACATAAAATGTAGATTTTCTACAGGAAAATCATATAATCTTCAAAGATGGTATAATTAAAAAAATTTGGGTTTTATTCCTTTCAAGCAGATGCAAGATTTACAAAGTTTAGATTGGCAGACTGGTACAGTAATTACCTAGGAAAGGTAATACTGAACTAGGTTTAATATGAAGCATCCAGAGCCAAGTATGAAAACTTTTGTACTGGATGTCTCCAGATGGAAATATTTTAAATTACCTGGAAAACATACCAAACAAAAAAGAAATACCAAACAACATTGCATATAAAAATCAGATTTTAATGCTCACTGGTACCTAGTTACTGCTATGTGAAGAGGAAACTTGTCCAAACGTCTTGTACTGCCCAGGAATCAACCTGGTGAACGGTCATATATTTAATTGCTCTGTATTCATTCATCTGACTGCAAAATTGTAATAAGGTTCAGAGATTAATAAAATAAAACAGGAGTGTATGCAGAGACTAAGGTATGTATATAATACTTTGTTGAATATTGATTAATGACAAGAGTGGTGTATAAAGTTGTATTCATAGAGTGCCTTTCTATAATTAAAATAACCAGCATAACTAACATGAGGGTGGTGGCGGGTGCTTCAGCTCGATTTGTACATAACTCAGATACCGTCGGTTCGGTACACACAAAAAAAAAGTTCGTTCACTGAAAATTTTGTATACACAACCCATTTTTTTATGAGATATTTGAGATATATAGAAGAGTTGCTACATTCTTGTACAGCCACTAGTACGCGTAGCGTTTCGGGCAGGTCCCTGGAATACGATCCCCGCCGCGAAGAATCCTTGTTACAACCAAGTACACATTTTACTGTTGAGTTAAACAGAGGCTACAGTTAAGGATTTGCGCCCAGTAAATCCTCCCCGGCCAGGATACGAACCCATGACAAAGTGTTCGCGGAACGCCAGGCGAGTGTCTTACCACTACACCACGGAGACTGGTCTCATAATCACCTCATAAACAAAGACCATTCCATCCACCCGCCAAACCCGCTGTTTATGAATGCCAAACTGTTTACACACGACTCACAACTGCTGACGTCCAAACACTTCCAGAGCACGTGCTTCGCTCACCACTTTCCTTCTAACCACAACGCTGTAAATGCTTTGTAACCTACGATTACGTGTTTGTGTTTGCTTGATTGGACAGAGCTTAGTGGTTTTATATATTTATATAATATAGTCTTGGTTACAGCAGTTGGTTTGTTAGCAGTGTAGGAAAGTGTCGTAGAAATTGAGACAAAGCCTGGAGCAAGGAAGAAGGGAAGAGAGTGTCTCTGTACGTAGTATCCTTCTTGGGTGGTGTCTGGTGGTGTTGTGGGCCGGCGTCGGTCGCGCTCTCTCACCACCGCCACGTTTTCTATGGTTATCTTGAAATTGAATTGAAATTGAAATTGAAATAAGTTTATTGAGGTAAAATACACACAAAGGGATGAGGTAGCTCAAGCTATTCTCACCCCGTTCAGTACGTCGTGTTAATACATACATAGACACACATCACAAACAATAAACATATTACCAAACATTCTGAGAGATAAACATACATTTCCTCGGTTATCTTGAGATGATTTCGGGGCTTTAGTATCCCCGCGGCCCGGTCCTCGACCAGGCCTCCACCCTCAGGAAGCAGCCCGTGACAGCTGACTAACACCCAGGTACCTATTTTACTGCTAGGTAACAGGGGCATAAGGTGAAAGAAACTCTGCCCATTGTTTCTCGCCGGCGCCCGGGATCAAACCCGGGACCACAGACTCACAAGTCCAGCGTGCTGTCCGCTCGGCCGACCGGCTCCCTGGTCATAACTTGCGAGTTAATTGTTTGGTTTAAATTGGAGTAATTTGATAGTGACAGCAAGTGATTTATAAGTGTTATTAGTGACAGAGTGCAAGTGTTATTAGTGACAGAGATGACTACTGTGAATATACTTTTGCTCAGTTCACAATTAAATCCCTTAAATCCTCTTTGACTATTGGAGCCATCTATAGATTTCCCAATACTAACATAGCTTCTTTCTCAGACAACCTAAGGAATCTTATTATAAACAACAATCTCAACAAAAACCACATTATTCTGGGAGGAGACTTTAATATTGACCTGGGTCAACAAAATTGCTCTCAAGTTGACTATTTCCTTAACAGCATGAACTCCTGTATGCTAATACCCACAATCACCAAACCTACCCGAGTCACTCAAACATCAGCCACTACCTTGGACCACATATGGACAAACATAACAGCTCCCCTTGTATCTGGTATAATCTACGACAGAACAACTGACCATTATCCTACCTTTCTCATAGCGAACATGGACATAATACCACCAAAAAGCAAGAAACTTTCATTTAGGCTACACAGTGAATCAGCTTTAGACAATCTTACAGATGCACTTTACAATATTAACTGGGATTCTGAATTCAATAATACCCAGGATATAAATTCATTAGCTAACCTCTTCCTCTCCAAAACTCTAAGCCTCTACAACCTTCATTGTCCCCTTCTTACCAAGCAAGTAACTGACAAAAGATTAAACAATCCAAGGCTCACAAGTGGCATTCTCAAATCAATCAACAAGAAACATGAATATGAAAAGAAACTTAGGATTGGCCTAGTTTCAAAGGAAGTAGCTAAAAGGTACTCATCAATGCTTACCAGTATCATAAGAAAGGCAAAACTTGCATATTATGTGAATAGATTCAATGAGCAAAAGGCAACATGAAAAGCACTTGGAAAACAATCTCTAGTATCCTATGAACTAAACAACACTCACATAACCAAATAAAACTCTACAAGGATGGGGATATACCGTTAACTGATTTAGAAATGGCAAATGAATTTAAGTTTCTTTTCATCGGTTGGTGCTAATCTTGCCAGTAAAATCCCACAGACTCAGACACATATTAACACATATCTCTCAGGCAGCTATCCAAACTCTCTTCTCCTTTCACCAATCAGCCCGGCAGATGTTGTGTCCATCATACACTCTTTAAAAACCAAGGCAGGGAACACCAGTGAAATTCCGTCCATTGTGTACAACAGAGCCTCCCATGCCCTTGCCCCACCCATAGCTATATATATATATATATATATATATATATATATATATATATATATATGGTACTATATATATATTAAATAAACTAAACCAAACACTTTTACAGTGTTACATGGGGTGCATAATAAATGAACTAAACTAACTAACTCAATAAACTTGAACTTGAAGTGGACTTTAATGTTTTTTTCGGCAGCTTTATTTCCTTAGTTTCCGAGCTGTTTTCTTTACTGTGTATGTTGTAATAAACTATTCCTATATTTACAGTTGTTTCTCCCTGTGAAGATTATTAAACAATGGTGATTATAAGGGCGCGGAAGTTCAGCTTGGCCAGGGCCGCCAGCAGCCCTTGGGCCCGCCCCGGCAGCACCCAGCCTTTAATTTGGCACCTTTGTGGGACCTTTGTGGAACCTTGGTATAAGCCTAACATGTATATATACACTGGCTGCCTGTCCCCCTACACAATGATTTATTATTACCTATTACTTTATCATTTAATTTAAATATTAAATAAAATATTTTATTTAATTGAAATATTTTTTATTTAAATTGAAATTAAATTTAAATTGAAATTATTTAAATTGAAATTAAATTTAAATTAAATTTATTTAAATTTATTGAAATTAATTTTTATTTAAATAAAATATTTTATTTAATTATTATAGTAAGTAATTAATAATTTAATAATAAGTAGTAAGTACATAAAAATGATTAAAAAGTACAGTTTAGTCATAGGAGATTTCTAGATTGGCATTCACTACCAAATTTCGATATATCCAAGTATTTTTAGTGTGAAATGCTGTTATTTATTATATGCATAAATTGTTGTTTTAATAATATTACGCTTAACCACATGGGCTGGACGGTAGAGCGACGGTCTCGTTTCCTACAGGTCCGCGTTCAATCCCCGACCACCCCAAAGTGGTTGGGCACCATTCCTTTCCCCCGTTCCATCCCAAATCCGTATCCTGATTCCTTCCGAGTGCTATATAGTCGTAATGGCTTGGCGCTTTCACTTGATAGTTCCACCCCCTGGATAATATTACAAGAGCAGTATTTACGGGCTATTCATGCCCGTGCCACCTCTTGGGTGGCTTAATCTTCATCAATCGAGAGCAGTACGTCCTAACCAGACATAATATGATGATATCCTGAACAGTTGATAAATAAAAACAATTGTGGAACTCCAGTTATCTAATACTTATTATAAATGGTATAAAACCTTGTCATAAGCCAAAGGATTTGCAGATCAGTGTTTAAAAGGGAATTCGGAAGTAATAATAACACAGCTGATGCCATCTGTCGGCAAAAGAGAACACTATCAACTGGCTGGTCAATAGTGGCCATAAGGTACAGCTTACGCCATCTGTTGACATCAAATTACACTAATAACAAATTATCCCACAAAATACAACTAGCGCCATCTCTTTTTTTTCCAACGCACTATAAATAGCCAAACAGCAACCCATAAGGCGGGTTGTTGTGTTCGGGTAGGAGGTTCCAAGCTCCGCCCACAGATGGTATGGGGTGCATAATAAATGACATATCATTGGTGGAAACTCTTTGTTGACATTCACACAACAGCCAATCACAGGAAGGAATCAGCTAAAGGCTCCATCCACTTAATAAATCATCTTTATTCAGCACACCATCCTTGCTTATGACATTCTGCTTCAACTTTAATCTACCTAAAAAGTGAAATGTTAAGTATTTAAAAGTATTAATATAGTGATAATTAAATACTGCAGGATGTAACGGGTGTTACAGAAACATGGGCTGGCTACCTGACTTGTGACGTCATCAGTGGGAGTTGCCTCACACAAATAATATTGGCGATACATTGCCTGATCCGCCCTCTTATTGGTCTACATTATTCAGTTAGATGGAAATTTCTGTTTTGTATAAAACAGAAATAGTTGTTCTTTTGTACAACAACACTAAGGTTATTGATTAAAAGGACGTATTTCTTATTTTGCATTTTATTCATATAAGCGTTGGCAGTCCCAGCAACAGCCAATCACAGGAAGGTATTTGCTGGAATCTCTTCCTTCAACAAAGTTGATTCCTAATGAACGCTAACAATAAATTCGTTTAATAAACGAGTATTTAGGGTCAAGCTACAGATGAATATTATAGGATAACAGTGTTTTAGCTTGCAGCTTCGTTAGACAGAATCCCTGGTCTTAATTTTAAAAATAAAGAACTAGAAAGCGTATTTTATTGCTAACTTTTCGAGAAATAAATCCCAGCCTCATATTTGCGAATATTTATGCACTGATTTTCTGGTGTGGTGATAATGGGTCCTATTACATCTGTCCAGGGAGAGTTTCAGAGCATGGTTTGCATTTAAGAACAGGGTTTTGTAAATGTAGTTGACACAAGAGAATGTGTGGAGGGAGTTAATATTTAGCAAGTTTAGGGATTTAAACAAGGGGGGGAATGGGCTGAAACTTTCTGCCAATATTCTGAAGCTGCAAGATTCGCCGCCATAAATATTTGGAAGTTGCAGCATTTACCACCACTATTCGCAATGTTTACGTTTCAGAGCTACCACAATTATGCAGCTGCAAGGTTACTACCACCATTCTGCAGCTGCGAAGTTCATTACTACCACCATTCTGGAGCTGCGAAGTTCACTACTACCACCATCCTGGAGCGCCAGGCTTCACTATACAAGAGAGTGACATTTGTAGATCAAACTGTAGCTAAGAGGAATAACTTGGGCATTTGCTCACCACACATTCAAAGACAAATTAAGAAATAATTATAGTTAAAGCCTATCCCCTGGCTAGGCTGGAGGAGGCCTATCCCCTGGCTAGGCTGGAGGAGGCCTATCCCCTGGCTAGGCTGGAGGAGGCCTATCCCCTGGCTAGGCTGGAGGAGTAGAAACCTCAGAACCTGTTCCCGGAGTGTTACAGGAGCAGGCAACAGCAGACACACCACACCTATAATCTGGAGATCTTGAGGTTATCTTGAGATGATTTCGGGGCTTTAGTGTCCCCGCGGCCCGGTCCTCGACCAGGCCTCCACCCCCAGGAAACAGCCCGTGACAGCTGATTAACACCCAGGTACCTATTTACTGCTAGGTAACAGGGGCATAGGGTGAAAGAAACTCTGCCCATTGTTTCTCGCCGGCGCCCGGGATCAAACCCGGGACCACAGAATCACAAGTCCAGCGTGCTGTCCGCTCGGCCGACCGGCTCCCTGGTCATAACTTGCGAGTTAATTGTTTGGTTTAAATTGGAGTAATTTGATAGTGACAGCAAGTGATTTATAAGTGTTATTAGTGA